AGAATAAAAAAAATATATATATATATATATATATATATATATATATATTCACGAATAATTTGTTATATATGTTTTAGTCTTTATATTTCTATTTTGTGACAGTTGTATTAGTATATCATTAGAAAATTAACAAGGACAAAAACATAAAACAAAATAAATAAAAAACAACTTGCATAAAATTAAAAATAGAACTTTTAGGTATAAGAACGAAAAGCTAACGCTAAGACTAAATAATTAACTAAACCTTTACAATATAATGCAAGTATCAGTTAGAAATGCCACTTACCAAGAGATACTTTGTTTTACACCTACCAAGACATACTAATAAAACGTGATTTAAAATTTAAATATTATTTAAGAATGTCAATTTAGTAAATATAATTTATATATTTTTTTAGTATAAAAATATTCATTAAATTTATTAATAACCAACTTTTATGAATTTGAAATTTTATTTAAAGAAGTCGAATCTCATTTCACTTGTACCAACAAAATCTCATTTCACTTGTACTAACGATTTGTTAATGTATGCTAGTCATTTTGCAGAGTACAGCTCGCGTATTTTATAAAGTAAATAAGTTACATTTTTAAATATAACTTTAATGTTTACACTTTACAGCATCTTTGAGCCTTGGGGTAGAATCTTATGCATTGAAGCTAAAAATTACATCAAAAGTGATAAAAGATGCAGAAACTGTAATTATTTGTTTCTCTAAAATGTTGATGAAATATGACGTGATGTAATCCCAAACACGCACTGCCCCAATCGCATTCCAATAATAAAATATAAGAATAATATCATTTTTAGACAATATTACTTCAAAATAAATAAGCATACAAAGAAGTGTTCATTTGTAATGATTAAAGATACGTTCACTCTTATTTAATTTATGGTTCAATCTGTTTGTTGGTCCTGAACTTTTTAACTGTTTTTAAATAGATAAATTAAAAGAATTTGTATTTGAATCTTTAATATCTCCTGAACTTTCTATTGGTGTAATATCACTGAATAAAATTTATAATGGGAGACATGTCCTGTGATTTATAAATACCCTTACAAAACTTCTCTAATATAAAAACTAAAACCATTGACCCATGTTATACAATGTGGTATACATACAACAAAATATATAAAAAAAAATTGATTGCATTCAAAGACAAAACTGTGTTTTTAATATAGACTTGTCAAAATGGAGCCACTTAGGCCGGCCGGACAGACCGAAGTTTGAAAGGCGGTCTGGGCAAGACCGATTTTCGTTTAGATGGTTTCTTTTGTTTCTTATATTGTTCATATAGCTGCAGTGAAAGTGCAGTCCTATCCAACTCCCTCCTCAACCTTTCATTCTCCTTGATGTCTTGAAGAATCGTGAAATGGGAATTAAGTTTGCTTCGCAACTCATCATCGTCGAATGAACTAATAACTTTTGTAGAACCAATGGAAGGTGATGTAGCAGAGCCATTTTTTCGTCTCTTCTTGTTATTTACCTTTATACTGCTACTTTGTGTGAAACATAATTCCTGGTCCAGAGACATTTCCTTGAAAGCTTGTTGAGGAGAGGACTTGGATAAAATGAGCTGGTTATTTGCAGTGCTCATGCTTGAAATGCCAGAGGCCAATGTTGATATAGCTGGATGATAATGCTTGGACAAAAGATTGAGTTCCCAAAGTACTGAGGCAAGGGCACCGCTTAAATTGGGGTCTGTGGAATATGGTAGATATTTCTGCATACCAAAGAGGGGGACACTCCATAAAAGATGACAGAAAAAGAATGGTCCTCACTAAAATTTTGCAATCAAATTCACACATTTAGCTTTTTTGCCATAGACAGACTTGGAAATTCATATCGCCTAGCCTTTTTGGCATGTTAAACAGTTCTAATAATTAAGTTTTAAAAGAGGATATCATTAATGGATATTTATAAGGAATGGAGGACTTCTTGTTTTGGCATACCCAATTTAATTTTTCTTATTTCTTTTATTATGACTCCTTTAGGAGGTATCTTAACGTCTGCACTCTTGTCGAACACCCTCTTCTCCCTCCCCCCCAATTGAATTAAATTTCTCAAACTAATAAAAAGAGAGAGAAGAAATAATGAGGCAAAGATTCTGCACATAATGCAAACAAATAATTCATGAAAGAAGCTTACAGGAATTGTGCCAGAAACAGAGCCCCCTCCAATGTCATTTTCCAACAAATTTCTGCACTTAACATTCTTCAGAAGGAGATGCTTTACTGTGACCAAGGCTGAAATGGATTCGAAGAAAAACTAAATATAAGTCTCTTTCTCTTTTATTAGTTTTCTATTTTCTCTGTTTTTTAACCAAAGGTAGTAGCATATACTAGATTGAAGGTTGATATAAGAATATTAAAACATACCAGCCATGGCATCTGCTGATCCAACACACAGTGAAAACGTTGCTAATCGTTTTACAAATGCAGCAGTCTTTTGCATGTCATGTTGCCTATCATCACACAACATTATCTTGAAAGCTTCTGCCAACAACTCTCCTTGATCTCTGTTTCATAAAAATAAAACATATAAATTAACTGAATAAGTTTTGAAAATAAAAAACTGAAGTTTTCTAAGAAGGTGCATCTCCTTGTACATTACTTGAAAGTTGAAACAAGAAAAAAAAAATTAAAAAAGACAAACAAATTCAATAGCACTATATGTTTCCATGCTTCCATTGGATTCTCATATGTATATGTATGCATGTGTGAGTCTGCATCATTTACATATGGAATAAGATCAATTTTCCAACAAAAGTATATATCAAAGGAACTAACTGATTCTAAAAGCACAAGCAGATAGGCCTAGTAATCTTTTTTATCTCCAAGTCTCTTAATACACTCATGAAAAGACGAGCCCTTGGATTTAGGTGTCAATACATGTAAGCACACTACCTTGGGCTAAAATTATAATTTAATTAGAAAAATGAGGGCAGAAAAGACTGAATTCCTAACCATATGATAATGAAGAGTTTCATACCTACTTATTCTAAAAACTTAAGATGTTAGGCAGAGACCCATAGGATGTATTGTGTCTTTAACAATACAATATGATATAGTAGTTTCTAAATTTATATGCATACTTATGTATGAAAAATAGCATGCAATGTATGACAACACCAAGAACAAGTACATTAATATCATATCCTGCATGCCTAGTAGATTTTCAAAAACAGACCATACTGCTCATTTGGGAAAAAAATAAATAAAAAGGGAGATTTCAGGATGCAAACCTTCCTGGCCTGTACTCAAGTACAATATTGTAAAGATGGAGAAAGAAGTCCTGTAAATCAACATTCAAGGCATCGAGATTGTTCCTCATCACTTTAAAAGCAACAAGGCAACATTGGAGACGCTCCGATACAGTCAAGCATTTAGAAGACTTGTCAGAAGTGTTGCCTGTGTTGCTACTTCCAGAAGTGAGTACTTTCAGATGGTTCATTAAATCACCCATGAAATCCAGGTCAATCAGATGTGAAAATTTTGCCAGTCCTTTCAGACATGGATCAAGCAAAGGGAGGGGTTCCACTGGTGTAGATAATGCACCAATATTTGCTTCAGGCCTGTAAAATTACACAACTAAAATTAACGCAGAAAAATATAAAGAGAAAAAAAAAAGTATCTAATTTGATGGAGAATAGGGTCTATAAACCCAAGAACACTAATGTTTCCCTCAGATATAGTAATACATGTGATATAAAAGCACACCTGGCACATATGGACTGCATTGTATGCTTCAAAATGCGAAAATATGTCTCAAAGACAGCAGAGAGTGTTTCAGTTTGCATCTGTCTCCTCTCCATAACATCCGGAGCAAAGGATGCAGCCTTGTAATCAGCTTCAACCTACAGAAGGCATCACTTCAATATCATCCCTACCAAAAACCAGAACCAAGACTTTTATGGGAAAAAGTAATAACCTCCTCTCTTGTCTTAGAAATCAATTCTTTCCTACTTTTCTTTCTATCATTCTCCACCGACTGATCTGATGCCTCCGAGCTTTTCCTTTTGTTACTTTTCTTGTTTTTTAACTTCTGATCCTCTTCTATGTTTCCAGACTTAACAAGATCTTCATCAAATGAAAGGGACAAGAAAACCTGAAAAGGCGTTGCAAAGAACAAACATCAGCATAAAATAAAAAAGGTTTCGCTCAAATAGCTACAGGACACAAAATTGTGTGCATTTT